AGTGAATTGTTTGTTATTTGGGGGTTTCTGTTTTCAACTTTTGACCATATTTTCAAGTTTTGAGCTTAAACTGTACACTGTAAAAAGAGACGTGTGGCTTCAGGCTGCGTTTCACCCAGGAGGTTCTCAAAAGAAGTTTATAACAAGTCTAGAAGACGAGGACTCTTGTGTAGGTAGTATAGAGCACAGTTAGTATAACATCTGAGGACTATTCCTACTGATGATAGAACTATTATTACTAGCAGACTGGGTACAAAATTGCTTATGCGTTATTCATCAATTACCGTATATTACGTATATTAGTGTGCTCATATATGAATTCAAAATAAGAGAAAAATAATTAAATCCTGCTTAGAGGGCTGTTTCTTTCATGTGTGTGACTGGACTCTGCTTTGACTACGGAAGGGAAAGTCTGAAGGCTCAGGAGGTGATGGCATTGTCAGAGCTTAGGGGAAAAAAAGGATTTCAACAAGAGTATTGTATATGCCTGTTATATACACACACACAAAGACAGAAAAAAGCAAAAGCAAGAAAGCTATAAAATGGCTGTAGAAGACAAGAGAAAATGTCACCTTGGGAGAAGTAAAGCATAAATATTGTATCTTCAGTCTTCTGTGACACTGACGATATCCAACTAGATCTTATTCCACTGTTAATGGATATTTCAGGCCTTTGCTGGTGTTTACAGAAATCTTTTAATACTTTGCCTGTGGAATATTTCGTTATTAGTGCTCTAAACCCATCCGACAATACAGGGGTTTTTCTGGTTGATTTTGTTTAGGTTTTTTTAGCCTTTATTTTGTCATTTAACATTACTTTTAAATGCTGCAACAATAATGTGTTGGCAATTTTAGAGAATTATTGAGTAAACTGTCCATCAGGCCAGTATGAAGTTCAAATGGCAAAAGCAATAGTATATTTTCAGGTTGTTTTTTGTTTTTGTTGTTTGTTTGGGGTTTTTTTTAATAATATGGTATAGTTTTCTGAATCAGGCTAGAGATCGGCTTGTCACTGTCACTCTCTCCCCTCAGAATATAGGGGCCAGAATAGCACAATGGAAGCAAAATATCTGTAGTCAAGAGACAGATTCTCTTGATATGGAGATTGTGACCATCCAAGAAAATTGTCATACAGGGTAGGCAGCACATAGGATTTCTGAAATATCAGCTGAAATATCTGTTGAAAAAAGTAGCAGAAAAAACAGCAATATAAATGAGAGAGCACACAAGTCATATTGCTTTGCTTTGGGGAATTATTTCTAGGATTTAGGATAAAACAGGTATAGTCTCAAAACTGCATGAAATATTGCTTTAATTTTAAGCATGAATAATGATCTGGGGATGTGGGAGAGGGGAGTAAAATGTCTCCATTGAAATTTGTTGAAAGAAAAAACCGGAATACTATATTTTCATATTGTAAATATCAGTTTCTATTTCTGCGTTCTGAGATGTGATATGGAACTAAAAGTTTAGTAAGTATATTTTTTACTAAGTTTTGCTGTGGCTATAGTATTGTTGTGTGACTACAGGTTATTTAAGAAACTGAGGAAAAAAGAATGATTTGGGTAATTACACATCTCTTTGTCTGACCTTACTCGTATGAAAATTTATAGAAGAAAGAATAATCAAACATGGAAGTTAATGAGAGCAGCATAAAATTAAAATTAATTTATTGATAGTAGACTAATCTGCTGGCTTTGGCTATTAATTTCTCTCTTTTTTTGACCCATGAAATCTATGTTGACTTCTGGAAAGCATTTAATTGTATGTGAAATGGGAGAATATTCATTAGAATAAGAAGTGGAAGAAACATAAAGTACTTTCTAAAAGGAATATGAAAAAAAAATAATGGTGGTATTGCACCAATAAGCATATCTGACAAAGGGTTAGACAGCTTTGCCAGCTGAGAGGGGGATTGGGTTGTCATCCCTGAATGATCCTGAGGAAGCAGAGTAAAAGAAATGAAAATCAGTAGGATGAAGTACAAGATCATGCATCTTTCTACTATAATATGAGCTTTAGTCAAGAAAAAAAGGATATTTTATTGTAAGATAATCAGATAAGTTTTTTCTGGTAGAACTGTAGAAATAATACTGCAAACATTAAAAGGACTGGTGAGTCATCACCTGAAATAGTATGCAGAAAGGTTTTAAAATAGAAACCAGTAAAGAGGCTTCTGGAATAACCATGGTATTGGAAAACATGAGAGAAGAAACTTTAAGAACAAAGTTGTTTTAACCATGAAAGGCAGAAGGTGAGGAAATAAAATTTTGATTATAAAAATATCAAGAGCCTTTTTAAAAAAGGGGTGTATGAGAGTTCAGAGGGTGTAAGTGAAAGAGCGTTCAGGCACACATGTGCTATGTTCAATGAAGAACTTGGGTTTGTTGCATAACATTCAAAACCCCAGTCTTTGACTTTGTGTCCAAACTATCATGCGTCACTTACTTCAAATTTAGCTTTGGTTTGTATCTGAAGCCTCCTAGGATTAGAGGTCAAAGTTAGGGATTTTTTTTTTTTCTCTTCTGCCGTTCTTCTGTGTCTCTTCAGATCTTATACCATGTCTTCCACAGGGGCATGAGGGAAGGTTGGCAGGTATTTCAAGGGATCTTTTTGTTGAAGAGCTCCTTGTATTTACAGGTTTGGGTTTTTTAATCTGATTCCACTAAATCGGAAGTTGCACAAACAGTAGTACCAAACTAATACCAGCATATTGTGAGCTCTCTTTGAAGTTATCACCAAAAATAGTCTTAAAGGACAATATATCTAGTAGTTGTGCACTGCTGAAATCAAAAGAATGCTGAATTTTTATATTCAGGAGCAACTCATGATCATGACACAGGAAAAAACCCTTTCAGAACAAGATAGATTCTAGATCAAATATGTAAGTGTTCAGTGTCAGAAGAACTGAAGTAATAGAAGATTGGCCAATAAAAAATTGGCTTATCTGAAAGCAAGAATTCCAAAATTTCTTGTATACAACCCGTTAATCACCTCTAGGCACTGAGGTTTTTTTTTTGTGTGTGTGGTTTTTTTTTTTTAATTTTATTTTATTTTTATCTGGGAAAAATAATGTAACTGTTACGCAGCTGATATATTGATATAGAGGGTTTTTTCATGGATCGTGTTTTGTTTTGTTTTGGTTTTGAACCTATGTACTTTCTGAGTCTCATCATTCTGACATTTTGTAAGTACATCACTTTATCCTGTGAACTGTTTTTATGCAAACTATAATGCGAAGAGCCCTATTGATAGCTATGTTAAGCACAAGGTATTGTATTCTGTGTTTCTTAGCAGCTTTCTAAGTAAATCAGTGTCTTAAAATATTTGTGCCTACTCTCAAAGGCTTCTTATGACAGCAGAAATAGGACTTTCTATTAAAATCAGGTTTGTTTCTGGAACCTGTGAAGACTGAAACACATTTGTAGTCAACACTGTTAGCTTCTAATTTTAGCTCTGCTTCGCAAACAAGCAGTTTCTTAACTACCAAAGCCAGCTGACCTACTTGGTGATGATTTGGGCTTACCAATCACTGAGGGAAAATCTGCCAAGTCTAACATACAATTGGAAAGCAATGTTTTTCAGTAAACAGAAGGTTTTAAAAATTGTGATTATAAATCAAATTATGAGTTATGATTTATAATATGAACATACATTTATATTTCCTTATTATTTTTAGAAAAGTTGATTGTCTCCAAATTGGATGGTTGGGTGAGGTTTTTTTTAGATTACATTAGCATTTTAACAGGTTACCATTGATCATTTTATAGTTGTGTTAGCGTTTCTGCTATGAATGGGATTGTAGTTGCTATGCAACATTTTGCTCTAGTGATTTGGGGACTCTGTTAGGTTTTTATGAGAGAAAGATATGTTGAGGGTGTGTATCTTGTATTTTCCATCACATAACTCTACTCAGTGGATGAAATGGCTCCACTACAGAACCTAGTAACATCATAGGACCACGGACTTCAGGGATTTTTTTGAGACAAAGTTTAAGGAAGCTTTACCTTTATAGGTACAGTTTATTACGAATGAAATAAATAAAGAAGAAAAAATAAAAAATAAAGTCATTACACTAATATTCTTAGTTCATATCTATATGTTTTGTTCCTGTGGAACAAATTTAAATGTTAAGTTTACTTCATAAACAATCAAGAAACAAGTTTTAACTGACTGCAATGTTATAAATATAAGCTAGAATGCATGCTAATAGTAGTTAACCTCAGGTTACTCTTATGATCTTGATATTTTAATCAACTATTTACATCTGTGCATCTCTTGAAATGGATGAAAGTTGTATTTCTCGTTCTCTTTTTCTGATAGAGAAAATATGCACTTTTTCTACATCCTTCTGTAAATCCCTGACATTTCATCTCTTCTCTTTTTCCTAAGTCCCTGTTTTGCTCTGCTGCACCCTCTCAAGTGCTTGCACTTCCCTCCAGCTTGGCAAGCACTTTCTCTCTGACAAATTCTGTTTTTTTACCAGGCATCGTTCCTTCAAACTAGGGAATCAAGTCTTAGGTTTCATGTGTAGGTGTTTAATAGCCCCATTTTCTCTGTGTTTTGACGGTCTTATTTTCTTCATGATCTTCCATACAAATGATCGTATTTTCTGTTTTAATAGAATGAGACTTAGGAAAGCTTTGTGGTTCTTGGAGTAGCTTCAAAACTTGTCCTTTGGTTAATCAGAAGAGACAGACTGGCATATGTGTATCTCAGGTTATTTAAAACACTCTTAATTGCAATGCAAAACCTTAGGCATAAAAATAAAATGAAATGCAGTATTCAAAAAGCATACATCTAATCAGAAGAAGGCAACTGCATAAGTGAGCAGAACTGAACACTGTAGAGTGACCCCCTCATCTTGTATTGCAATTTGTTCAGTGTGCTATTATTTCAGAATTAAAACTGTAGTATGCTGATTTAGGTAAAGTTTTAACTCATGTATATTACAATGTTTCTTGTTTAAGGTGTTAACAGAATGAATGTTCTGTATTTTAGTCTCAGCAGAAAACCTGGAGAAGAGCCTGAAGCATATGGAAAGGCAATTCCAACAGCTTGAGAAGGATTTGCAGACTTTTCCAGTTCCTGAAGATAAGCACGATAAATTTGTAGCAAAAATGTCAATATCCTTTTAAAAAAAGCAAACCAGAAATAATTTAACTGCATTACCTTGAGCTTTAAATTTTCTTGCCTAACTGCTGTCTAGTCTATAGCATTTATTTTTAAAAATATAACTTTTTTCCTTCAAAAACTAAATACATGAACAGTCCAAATAAAGGATTAATCTGTAGTGAATAGAATGATGAGAAAAATGTTTACTGATAGGTTTTACACTGTGTATAAGTTTCTTAACTTAGTGGGAAGTAATTCTAATAGGAATGTTAAACACTTCATTTTCTGTGAGAATATCTTAGAAAAACATGTCTGTCACCCTGTGTTTATTTGTTTTCTAGTGTATGAATTACCACTGTGAATGTTTTTGTACATGCAACCACAGAACAAAAGACTTCTCTTATTTGACAAAATGAGATTCTTAGCATGTGAAAACTGGTTTCTGGTCTTATTTTTGCCAGAATTCCTTTTCTCACTATGTATTCCAAATCCTGCAGCCAAATTCACTGCCTCTCATAAGAAAACCTTGTGACATGAAGATACTTAATTAAAGCAGAAAAAACCATTCTTTCACTTAGACCTCCCTACCAGATGCTGGTCATATATGCTTGGCACTGAGACTAATCTGGAGGCAGAAATATCATCAGATAGAGAGACAGGTTGAAATTTCCTGTGCAATCATGGTTAGGTTATTACCTAGCTGGAAGACTACTTTGTTATGTACAAAGGCATGGGTACTGAGGAGACAGTCCTCTTGATTAATTTCATACTATTAAATAAAAGATGGCAAGGGACCCTGAGGCAGAGTGGATATACTGGTTCTTGCTGCATTAGGGCCAGTTTCCTTTTCAGAAGACTAGCTGCAACCAAAGTGTTTACAGCTTAGCTTTAGGCCTTTTCTAGACTCTGTGGGTTATCAGTAACCTTTCATTGTTGCTACTAATTTTTTGTAAGGTTGGATATTTTGTTGGTGAGTTTGTTCTGGCTTTTGTTGTTGCTGTTGCTGCATTTTTTTTCCAGCTCAATGTGGTTTTGAGAGATATGTTGCAGCCCACCAGCATGGTGTCTCTGTAGTATGAAACATAAGTTTTGTCCCTGAAGAAGCCAATAGCATAATAGGAGAACTAGGAGAGAGGTCCTGAAGGCAAGAGATAAACTATTGTTTAGGAAGTTAGAGGAAAACATATCCAGGATGACATTGTCAGAAATTTTGCTAGGACTATACAAAGTCTGTGCTTGGTTAAGAAAATGATGTGTAGTCTATTAAGTTAGGAATGGGAAGCGGTTATTAAGAAATCAAATCTATGAAAAAGGACAGACTCTTCTTAATCCAAATTAGTTATGATGTTGGAACTTAAAATACCTTATAAACTTTTGCATTTTTAAGCTGAAGTCTAAGGTTTGAAGTAACAGATAATTTAATATACATCTTCCTTTGGAGATGTGGTTATAAAACATCCATACCTATAAAACAGATATGACAGAAGCTAACAAAATTCAGTTGAGAATGAGTGAAGAATACCCTGACAAAATTAGCTTTACTTGAGAAGGATGGCATGAGAAAAGTTAAGTTCAAGAATAAATGCGTACTTCTATGCTAATATCTAAAATTAAAAAAGGTTATGTAGGATGCCTTATTTCCCATTTGTATTACTGACATATTCAGCATTTCTGAAAGTTAATGTCAGGAAGTAAGCGGAATACTGTGCTATAAGGTTATAAATTGTATTTAAGACAGAATAAGTCACAGTTGTAGACAAATAGTGTGAAAAGTTAAAATATAATAAAAGTCATGTGGAGTAAATAGGTGGACCTTGTCAATAAACACCATAACTTTTCTAGGGGTTGAAATTCCATCCCCATATATGAAAAGCATTAGAACAGTTTACTGATCACTTTTAAAAGGGTAGTGATCATATCAGGAAGTGCAAAGCAAGATCTACATGTCTTTTTCAAGCATTTCAACAGCTGTAATCCTGCCAGAGAAGACATGGATTGTCAGTGTGTGCCAAGAAGATAAGCCATAGCCATATAGCTCAATTTGTTCTTTGCATCAGTTTTCTCTAGGGAGAACTTTGGTTGACCCCACTGTGCAATATTTTGACTGGAAGGAGGATGATCTCAAATTAAGAAGTCAGTATATAAACCTGTTTCACTATAGATTCTTACATGAACTAAATTAGTCCAAGACACCAGAGGAATCAAAGCTGAAAAGAAGCATCTGAGTTTTTTAAAAGGGCTGCAAGGAGGATCAGCAAGTCTAGTTTCTCTACCAAGAAAACTGATGAAGACTAAATAAAAATAAAACCAACATGTATATATGGGAGATATAATATGATGGGGGAAGGGAGAGTCAACATGGGTTCTGTAAAGAGAAACCATCCCTTGTAGTTCTATTACAGCATGCAGATAAAGGTGGCACAGTTGGTAGAGTATAACTGAATTTCCATGCACTTTTCAACAAGGTGTATTAATAAAGACTTCCAAGGAAAAAAATTTCTTAGGTCAAAAGTGGAATGATTATTTTTTCTGGATTAATATCTAAAAAAAAAACCAACCCAAAAGAATCTCATGTGAAAAGAGAAATACTGGCAGATGCTGACAAAAGAGCAAGTGAACTTCAGTGATTATAGAGTAATAGATGTGGAGGGGGAAAAAAAAAAAAAAAAGAACATTTGAGAACAATTTCACTTAAGAGCAAGCCAAAAACTTAAATAAGTTGCCATAAAAATCAGTAATTCTTTTTTATCTCAAGTGCTTCCATCATCCCATCTCAAAAAAGTGTACTGCATACCTACTAATGTGGCATGTGACAATGATCAGCAGTAGGCAATAGTTTCTGTATAAGGGATATTTTAATAGATTAGGACTTTGAAGGTGGAAAATCAAAAAAGTCAGGAAAATATAATAAAAATTCTTGTAATTTTGTATGCTATACAGGAAGAAAGATAGCAACATATTAACTGTGTCTTATAAATAACCAGGATTTATCCCATGTAAAATACTGTCAAGCAGATTAAAACATACTAACAGAAGTGTTTTCTTACACAACAGACAAACTGTAGCATCTACTTTTAGGATGTAATAGAAGCTGAACATGTAAATGAATTTCATATAAGTCTTAGAGTGTTAGCTAAAGATAGTACATCTGGAGCTGTTAGACACAGTAGTCCAGAGCTAGCTTTAGCTCAGAAAAATCACTAATATGCAGACTGCTAGAAACTAAATACTACATCAGTTGAATTATCATGCTATACTTGCCAAGTTTCCTTCTTGTTTTCCCCAATCATTGGGTATTGATTGGTGTCAGAAACAGGTGAGATGAATATTTGGTCTTACTCAGAATAAATCAGTACAGGTAAGACCAGCCATACTACATATTTCATTTTATTAGACTATTCAGGTACAATATTTTAAACAGTAAATATTATAAAGAGTAATAATTTGCCCTCACCTACTATGCTCTCCCAGCAGACAGGCAGTAATTTCAAAACAGTAAAGTTGCATAGTTTTCTAGTAATGTCTGTGAACACACTAATTAAAGAAGCTCACTTTTAGAAAAACAGGAACTTCAATAAATTACAAAGCAAAGAAGGTTTGATGTAAAGGTTAGATAATCCTGCACAGCGTGATGAAGCCTGGACCTGTCTTTACTTTTATTCCTGTGACATGGAAAGCTGAATCATGTTGATGTCTTGAAAAGCATGCAGCTCATAAAAAGAAATCAGCAGGAAATCTGAAAAAGGAAGGATGGTGCTTTGTTGGAAATAATTTTTCATCCTGAGTACAATTAGGCACCATGGACAAGCATGATATTGCATCCTGTCGCTAAATATCGCAACCTAAAGGCCCCTGATGAACTGATTAGCATTCTTGTTTCTTTAGGAAGTCGGATATACACACAGTTGGTGCACTCTTTTATTGACAAAGTCTATAATTATGAATATTTCTCCTATATATTAGATTGTGCTAGTTTTGTCAGTCGTCTTATGTATGCTAGCTGAAAAGAAATTCTAGTTATTATTGCTGTTCTTTTGCTTTAATTAAGAAATTCAAAGGATATTGTATTAATATAGACCTAGATTATTAAATCCATTGAGTGAAATGTTCAGTAAAAAATAGTGAAGAAAATACATTTGTACATTCAAAATAAAAATTTAGTAGGTTTATGGAGAGAATTTAGATTGCATATTGAAAGCTTAGTTAACTAATTTGGTCAACATTCTCTTTATCAGTCCAGCTTGGATCTCATGATTTTCTAAGCAGCATCTGAGAACCTCTTGACAACTTTCAGCCTAACCCTGAAAGTGGTGTTGATGGCTGTTTTTACAGAAGCTTATGGAACTAATACTTGAGAGACAATGAATTCGTTGCTGCTAGGAACAGAGTCCTTTCTTTTTGATTAGTTCTCTATTCATCTTTCTTGTTGTTTAAGTTGATTTGTTGACATTACAAAAAGAGAAGGAGCAACACTTATCCAAATCGGAGCCTGATTCAAGTTAGGTAGAAAACCCCATTTCAACTGCAAGGAAGAGACTACATGCTGCCTCTAAACTGTCAGTTATTTAATCGACCTCAGTTTGAACTTCCCTCTGTGCAACATAAACTGAAGTCTGTAATATGTCCCTGAATCCTAAGGACTTTGGAAGATTACAGGACCCGAGCTTGTTTGTTGAAAAAAAAAATTGTATGTTGCTCTTTGGGAGAAGCTCAAGATGTTGACTATGTGGACAAGTAATGAGATAGGGCTTTGACAAAAAATGTAAATTTAAGTATGTAATTCCTTTATACAGGTCTTTAATATTTGGTCTGGACTGCAGGTGTGTATTACAGCTAGCACTGTTTTTGCTCATAATATATGGGATATACAGACTGGATGCAGCAGCTCTGTGTGATAGAAATACATGACAATTTGTTTTAGTATTATAACACAGAGATAAGTAGGAGTGAGTGAGGCAAGGAAAGGGCATTTTTGACAAATACTCTTCAGAAGGTACTAAATTAAAAATTAAATATTTTTATGTGGTTTTTTGAACTATTTATTCAGATACAGAATTTTCCTGTTGAACCTTGTTATATGTATATAAAAGGAAGGCTCTATGGCATATATTTTTCAGATAATTTCAACTATTTTCCCAAGAACTTGTTGTAGAAGATCTTCAGTAGAGCCCTATAACTTTAACATCCTTTGGCCTTAATAGAAAATCATTTGAAATGCTGGTTTGAAGTGACCTCAAAGTCTTTTTATTTGTACCAGTCTTCAAAAAGTTGTGTGTTTTTATGGAGACTGTTGCTGGCTAGTTTCAGTTCCATTTTGAAGATTCGGCTAAAATACATGCAGCATCTATTCACATGTTCATCTTTTGTTCATATGCAGAATGATACTACTTTTTCAATTAATATATGTCTTCACTTAATATATAGGTTAGGTTGTGAAAAAATCACAAGTTGTGAATATGGAGTCTTTTAAACAAATGTTTGGTACAGATTAACATCATTCATTATGTTTTCTGAGGTAATGGCTGTTTTTCCTTGGTTTGATACTCTGCAGTATATTAGTATTGTATATACCACAGTATATTAAAATCAGTATAAACTTCAGACAAGCTATTCTCTGAGAAAAGAGCTGCCATGAATATGAAAGATCAAACATATAGCAGTTAGAAATTTTGCCACAGATATTACTCATCTTAGCCCTAGATTGCTTTCCTCTTCCATTAATGAGCAGAATGATGATCTGTAGTCCCACGAGTCCAAAAAGGCAGCCCGTGAAGTGAAGCCACTTCAGAAAAAGTTAACAAACACCTAACTTCTTGATTTCCTTTTCCTCCCACCTGTGTTGCAGCTCTGCTGTACTTCTGTCTTCATTCATCCAAAGCCAATGAATTGTGTAGCTGATAATGCATATATATCAACCTGTTCATAATAATTACAGTTGGGATTGGTATACTCAGTAGTATTCCCTGTTGTCTCCAGTTTAGCAAGTGCTGGCTAACAAAAGCCATGTTTAAGGAAAAAAGGAAGAGGACTTATTAAAAATACCTAAATTGAAGCACAGTCTCAGTAGAATGACAAGACCTTAGGGTATCCCATAATGCACCAGATGGAGAATAAAAATCGTAGGATTCATTGTGTCTGGCACTGAAAGACTGGATAGTAGAACATCTTTCCAGAGTGTTGTATTTTGAGTTTAAGACTGTGCACCACATATTGAAGGGGAGTCAGTTTTAACAATATAGACTAAGCAGCCTATATGGACTCTTTGACATAGATGAAACTTTAGCTATGTCTTGCAGAATATCACAGAAATTTCGTCTCTCTCGCCTCCCCACACCCCCCAAGTTTCCTTTTCAGGAGTATCCATTTTGTTGATAATTTTAAATTTTTCTTTCTCAGGTTTTGTTCTTCCTAGAAAACTGAAGAAGATTACTGGAATATTTGATGTATGGCATTTATACCTAGTGACAACAAAACAAATTTATCTAATTTCCCTTTGCCCTCTGTGGAAATAAACAGCCTCATAATTGCAAAATATAGTGTAGTGTTCCCTAAATTCTGTTAATGATCTAAGAATCACAAATAATAAGTACTCTAAATTGTAGGATCAAAAATAAAGAGGATGTGGAAATGCTTGTTTCTACATATATGTATATAAGCTACTAATGTTGTGAAAGTGCATTATATCTCATTTCCTGCATGTGTCTGAGAACATTATTGTATGACTTTCTTACATGGATTCTAAGTCACAAAAAGAAAGCCAGAACTGCTTACTTGGTATTTTAAAAACAATGTTAACAAACCAAGACATTTAATAGTGAGCTTCAAATGGGATTCAGCCTCTAAACAAAACTAAAAGAAGAGTGCAGTATAAAAAACCTGAAGATTGAAATCAGTCACCTAGCAGTAAATTATTACTGTGTATTTAAAACAACATGGTGGACAAAAATTCTATTTGTCTAGACTTTAATGCACTTGATTAAAAATCCTGTGCTTCATAAAATAAAGTGACCATAGTGTATGTACACAAATACAGTAAATTATCTTTTGCAATATTTGGGGTGGGCAATTGGGAGTAAAGGTAAAATTGCCATTTCTTGTCTTTTGTTGTCTTTCCTGCAGCAGGAAAATAATGGAACATAAATATTTGTTTAGCTACCATTCCATTAAAGTAAACACTTTATGAAGTTGTCCTACATAAGGAAATAACTATTCACAATATTTCTTCTTTGAGCTTCTTTGACAAGTTGTATTATCAAAAGTCTTGAATAAACATGAGGGTTTTTTTTATTTTATTTATGTTATGCAGGATTTTGGGGCTGTTTATAAATTGTCTATCTCTTGTAGAAGTGGTTCTATTGTTTTCACCTCTGATTTAATTAAGTTATATTGGCATTGCAAATAGCCTTAAAAAAAGCATAAATACCTGATGCAGTCACCAGGAACAGAAATGAATACATTGCTGTTGCTACAACATCATTTAAAAAAAAGCTGTTAAGATGAAGTTTTAAATCTTTGATAGGTTTTACTTTTAATATAGTTTATTAATATTTCTATTTTTACTCCAGTTTTAGTAGGAACTATACTATTTCTTGATATATTAAAGTATTCAGGTTAGTTACTAGTATATGTACCTAAATTCCATGTAAATTGTAATTTTTATACCTAAACCTTTAGTTTCAATTAGACAGTGATACTAAACAACATAGGTGCTTGAATAATAAGTCCCATACATTTAATTTCATAACAAATTATATGCTAATGGAATAATCTTTAAATTTAAAGTGGTTGAGAAAATTTTATGAAAGCACCCTGATTTATTCATAGGCCTAATATACACAGTAAATACTAGGAAGCAGCATATATGACGTGGAAGGGATTCTTTCGATACTTCATTTGATGTAAATGAAAAATGTGTATGAAATGTAGATCATTGTTAAGTAAAAACTAGGTTTGATTGGGTTCACTGAGTGTTATTGCAGCCTTAACAGTAGTGTACAGCTTTCTGGTTCATGCCAAAGAAGATTTTCAGAAACTTTCACTGATGCATGAGAACATGGAAAAACTCTACCAGAATGTGATGGGATATTATGCCATTGATCTAAAGAAAGTTTCAGTGGAGGAATTTTTAACAGACTTAAACAACTTCAGGACAATGTTCATGGTACGGTCTGTTTTATTTGTGCCTAATGTTCCTTAGAAATTATTTTTGTAATCTTTCAGTTACTGAACAAACTAACAATAAGTTTCTTCCTCCTCAAACGGTATCTGATACTCATATCAGAAATTTTACTTTGCACATCCTAAATGTCCTAAGGATAATGGAATTTTGAATTATTATTTGTGCATTATTTCTTTCTGAAAGAATTGGAAATTCCTAATAACAATGAATGTAATTTAAAACTGAGCCTGTATAACCTGAAGGGGAAAAACCTTTAAGTCTCTACCTTTTTTCAAAACAACTGCATTTTCTGTTTAAAGGATGCTTGTTGTTTACTTAAAAATAAATATTCTAACAATTATTCTTTATTTATAATGCACGCTATTCCCATGCAAAATCCAGACCAAATATTTTATTTCGTTTAATCTTTCTTTTACTTGCAGCACTTGACCAGTGTCAAGGTTTGTGTCTGTAAGTAGGCTCCCCGCTATGGAAACTCAGAGCTCCTTATCCTGTCTTAAAGAAATAGCATATTTTCCTTAAACTTGGTCTGTTTCTGAGGACCTTTAATTTTTATTATATTAGATTGTTTAGGATTTTAGGTTTTATGCATTTTAAATTATTACTTTGGTTTTTTCCCTTTAAAAAGGATGATTTGGAGGGAGAGGCAAAGAATTATTTTATTATTATTTTTAAAATTTGAATTATAATTCCGAAACAGACATTAGGCTGATCCAGGTTGTTGTTGCTTAGGTCCTTTTGTATAGAGCTCGGAACATAGTTATAGCCATAATTAGCTATAACTGTTAGTTAACAGAGCTTTGCCTTAGAGTTATCTAAAGTAGCCATAGATGTGGAGGTTGGTTCTGTACTTTTATCACAGGGCAGCATCTGCCTTATTTATAGAAATGTTTGCACTTACTAGCTCGTCATAAAAGCTTGAGCTATTTTTGAAATCTATTTTTATTTTTCTTTAGGTATTTTTTGAGTCCAAATGCATTTTCATTATGCTTATACATTTTAATAGTAAGCATTGTTTGGTTTTTTTTTAAATGCTACCAAAATGTGATTTAAGATTTTTAACAAAAAACCTTTCCGAAAAGTGAGGTAGAAGTTTCTCAGCAGGATATTTCTTTATATATTTGGAGCTGTTTATATATTACTATAAACAGTCTTCTTGGTAAATTTAGGATAATTAGATGTTCTCCAAAATATTACAGGTTCTTTTATCATTGTCAATGTAATTCTTCTGGAATGAGGACAGTTAACTCGATGATATACTTCAGAATACATGCTCAAGACTGATATATCCCTCAGTTTAAAATAACCAATCAATTTTGGGAAAGCTGATGGCTATACAAGTTCAAAATACATTCATAGAGCTCTTACTTAATGTTAGTTGGGATTGTTATCATGGTGATTTATAACTACGTTCAGATTGGTAAAGTTAGAGGGGCAGGGAGAGGTTGATTTTGTGTGGAGGTTGTAGCTGTTCTCAGCTGGGTTTTTTTTTTAAGCTTTCTTTGCAAAAATAGTTTTTTCTCTTGGATTTTGAACACTTGGCTGGTAAGCAACTCTTTCTCAATGAAGAAATGGAAGAATAAAAAGGCAGGTCCCCAATTGTGTATGAATTTATTAATTTGGATAACATGGAAAAGGTAACTCGTGTCACATCTGGCTACCTATGATTACATAGCTTAACTTACTGCCTGCACTCCTGCAGGAATGTTATCTGAGCATGAGCTTTGTGACAAAATCTAGAGCAACGATCCAACCCATGCCTATTCATCTGTAGAAGATTCAATTAGTCATTTTACTGTCTGCTCCTCATTGCAGCCTGATGCTTATCATTACAAGATGCTTATTTAAGTTGCTTGCATGTTTCCCAGTCTTGTTTGGTTTTGTTTGTTTGGTTGATTTTTTAAAATTAATTCAGACCTGTCTGAGGGTGTAGATAGGGAAAAATACTTCTTTGGCAGATATTGAGAAAGGGTTTGAAATGTCAGTGTCCATCTATTTTGAGGAAAGTACTTAAAATGGAATCCATATTTAGCAAACATATTGTAAAAGGTGAAGATTGGAACATGTAAGGCCACTGCTACTTCAGAGTTTTAACAGCTAAAATCCTAGAAGTCACCATCTTCAATCAGAATAATTTTGCTTGGCACGTCACATATGCCAGATTTTTCAACGTGGGCATTGATTATGTTTTCTTAACTGATCAGTGCCTAATTTGAAACTCAGGAGTCTGATTTCAAAATTGCTAAATTTTATGAAATATTTCTGTTACTTCAATTTCTGATGTTTAAACCACAACTCCCATTTAAAAGCTGTAGAATAAGAATTCTAAATTCATCTTGAATTGGAGACTCAAAGAACTGGTTGTGCTTTACCTTAATTCCCCCATAGTTCTTTATGTGTCTGTAAAATTAGCACTGATACTAGCCCCTGCTTCACAGCAGTGTTATAAAGCTAGATTAATTAATGCTTTGAAACAGTGAGATATTATTGATGAACATGATAGAAGAAACCTTGAGGAAAATTAATATTTCTGTCCTGCAGAGAAAAGCTTGAAGGCTATATGAAATAGGTGTGTAGATAAGGCCTGAAACCCCTTATCGTTCAATGACACTAAACTAAATATTGAGTAGCTACTCAGTTTTGGAACTTTTTGGAAAAGATTTTTGACATGTTTAGCATGAGACACCTGAGGTCTAATTTTCAGATTTGTTTAGCATTGGTCTTGATTACTGACAGAAACTGAAAGTGTCTAGCATCCTAGAAAATTTTGCTCAAAAGACCTTTAAGTTTAGTGCTGAAAAATTATTGGATTCTTAAAAAGTCCAAAACTAAGAGACTACTGAAGTCACCAGTAGATGTGGGAAAGTGAAGTTCAGTCACCCTTGTTGTCAAGCAAGTTGATAATTTACATACATTACTTACCTACTTATAATACTTTTTTTCATTCTCAGTTAATGAATGTTTAAAAGCCTTTGTTAAATCTGGAGCTACAGACTTCAGGTTCATAGTTATCTTTGGACTGCATTTTGTACTTTAGTGATACTTGGCAGCTGTGACAGCTATTATTTAGGCTTTATAGCACCAAATCTAGAGCACTGTTAGTTGGCCAGATCCAAAAAATTGGGTGGAGCACTTTACCTTCAGTGCTTTAACTCCTGAAGCTAAATTCCTGGTACAGTCAGTGGAACATCTTAGATATCAGACACCTCTATTAACCTCATTCTGTGCTTTCACAGCATCAGAGGTACTACTAAAAGGCTCATTTATTTCCTTGGAAGAATAGCTTTCTGAAATATGGTGAAGCAATTGTAGTATTTCCTCCTCTTGTGTATGTCTAATGGTTAGAATTTTCTTAGAGGCCATGAGTGAACTAGTCATGTCCATAATAATACACTAATCATAGGAGTATAAAAACGCCTTTCTCTTGTTGCTCTGCAGCAGAAACATAACTTAAACATTCAGAAGAAGAGCAACCAAGTAAAAGTTTGTTTCCTAGACTTTACAGTATTTTTCTTTTATATTGTGCAATACTTGAATAAAAATCAGAAACGATCCTGGAAATCACAACAGAGAACCCAACAATGCCTCCATCTTGGGCTTTGGCATAGTATGCAAAATACCAAAGGCATATACTTTGGTAATTCTGAAAATTAACTTTGCATATCATGCTGTATGCTGAATGAAATGCAGCTCTTATCTAGCAGATGCAGTCAGACCATGTCTAACTTTTTAGGCCTTTTGAGCAAGGAAGTGTTAATAAGACATTTAATCTTTGAAATGCAAACAATGTGTAAAACAAATGTGTTTGTCTCAGTCAAGTTTGTGACAATTCTTGGTATAAACATTTTGCAGAATTTTAGACACCTATGTTTTGTGTTGAAAATACACAGAACATATAGGATAGGATTTGGGTCTAGGGCACAGACCTCTAAACATTGGCATCTGAATGTGAGCTTGAGCATGTAATCTTGTGTTCTAGTCAAGGGAGATGCATACTCAGTACAGTTAGTGGAATGTCTACCTGGTGTCTCAAATGAGACCTAAAACCTGAAGTTCCTAGTATCCTGGAGAGGTGTCTTAAATGGTATCCAAGACATCATAATCTTGAAATGTTAAGTTATGGCACAGAACTTATGGAAGACCAGTGTCCTGCTAGAAAAAGGCTGGAGGCAAGGTGTGATACACCGAACCATCCAGTTTGCACTGAATATGAAGGTGTGAGCTACTAAATAGATCCCAATTGATCAGTGTGATTAGAAGGGAGGAGGCTGAGTCCTACTGATATTATTTTGTTGGATAAAGTAGATGCAAAGTAGAAATTTCCTTGGTCACTCTCTTACGAAAGTGTGTAATTTCTGCCAAAATTGTACCTGTGTTTGAGTCCCATTTGAGTTTTGCCCAGCGGTTTATTTTACAGAATGACCAGTCTGAAAATCAGCAAATAATTTGCTAAAATAAATCCAATCCAGAATTTTATTATTTTGTAGTAGGCTTCTCCTCTCCTCCCCCAGTATCAAGAAAATTGACAGAGGTGACTGTGGAGAAGGCAGTGTGGAAGTACAGCTTTGCTATGTTTAAAAAGTCCATTTCATTGTAAATTTTCATCACTGAAAGCTTATTCTTCTCCAGTTATCAAAGACAGGTATTTCCTCACAAGACTTATGTGATTTTTTTTTTTCCTTCCTTTGGTCACTATCTATTGCAGTGATACTACAAACAAGGCCTGGGCAAATATTGCTGTAATCCTGTCATGTTTTAAGCCCAGAGGGCAACTGAGCACCATGCAGCTGCTCAGTTCACCCCTCAGGGATTGTGAGGAGAAAATACAATTGAAATGCTCGGGGATTCAGACAAGGGCAGGGAGGGATGAATTACCAGTTCTGGTTACGTGCAGAAGACAGATTTGCTTGTTGAATAAAAAGAACATGAATTTAATTTGAACAGCACCACCACTAATTTACCAATCAAGCAAAGTAGAACAGTGAGAAATACAACCATGTCTTTAAAACACCTTTCCCCCACCCCTTACTTCTTCCCAGGCTCAGCTTTCCTTTCTATTTCTCAACTTTGTCCTCCACAGGAGGGCAGGGGATGGGGGTTGTGGTCAGTGCATCACATGTTTTTCTGCCGTTCCTTTCCCCTCAGGGGAAGAACTCCTCACACTCTTCCCCTTCTCCAGTGTGGCGTCCCTCCCACAGGGGAGAGTCCTCCGTGAACTTCTCCAACATGAGTCCTTCCTGTAAGCTGCAGTTCTTCACAAACTGCTCCAGTGTGGGTCCCTCCCTTGGGCTGAGGTCCTCCCAGCAACAGAGTGCTCCAGCACGGGCTTCCCTCAGAGTCCCGGCCTTCTTTGGGCGCAGCCACCTGCTCCTGTGTGGGGTCCTCCACGGGCTGCAGGTGGGCATCTGCTCCACCATGGACCTCCACGGGCTGCAGGGCACAGCCTGCCCTCGCACCACGGGCTGCAGGGGAGTCTCTGCTCCAGCACATTTTCTCCTCCTCCTCTTTCTTTCCTGACCTCAGTGTTTTCATAGGTGTTTCCCTCACAACTAGTCTTCCTTCTCTCAGGTTTCATTCTTTAAATACATGATCACAGAGGTGCAGCCACTGTCACTAACTGGCTTGGCCTTGGCCAGAGGCGGGTCTGACTTGGAGCCGAGGGAGCTTCCAGAAGCTTTTCACAGGAGCCACTGCTGTAGTCCTCTCCCCTGGTACCAAAACCCTGCCACACACAAACCCAGCAGAAATTCACATTCATCCTGTGCTTTATAGTACCCTTTAGTCCGTTCTTACATTTTCTTTCTGAGTGCAGGCTGGACATTTTTCCCTCTAAAACCAACATGAGACATTAATTATCCCTGCAAATGTGCAGCCTCTGCCTCAGGCCTTGTGAAGATGTTAGCCATTTTGTAGGAGGGGACACTTTGATCTATTGTGAAAGGTGAGATTTTGTGTGTAACTGCATTCTGCAAAGAGAAACTTTCTACAATGAAGAATAGGTGCATGGCACTCTACATTTAATGCAAGACACAAATAAAGAAAAGGTAATCCAAAAATAGCTTTGTTAAAAAAATATTGAATGTGACACATTTTTGTTTGCTTTATGTCTGAATGTGCAAAATAATGATTTAAAAACTCTGAAGCTCATAGTTCTGGTTTGGCTTCATTGGAAGCTTTGCAATGCTTATTTATAATTCAAAATAAACAGTGTTACATGGGTATTAACCAGAAGACAAGAATTTATAAACCCAGTGAATTAATGCATATGTGGATAAGAAGAAGAAAAATGCACAACTAAGTCACCCAAGCAGCTTTGTTTGCTATTACTGGCACCATGAGAAAGCATAATTGTTGAAAGTATTCTAGAAATACAAATAGTAACATGCATACAGTTTTGTAAAACCAGTTGGTTTAGATATTTAAAGTTCCTTCTACATTAACGTGTATTCTTAAGAGGTATTTCTTGCTGAATTTATAATCCCTATTTAGGGGCAATTGATACGCTTTTAATGTATTTATTCTGAATTTGCTTACTCTTCTGAATAAAATGTACTAAAGATGGAATGTAAAATATTTACTTGGCTTGATAATTTAAGGTTAGTTAGGAGAAGTTATTTTAAAGCTTTTTTCTTTGTTTTTTAAGGTTCGGTTTTGTTTTTTGCTAAGACTTCATTTTTAATGGAGCACTATTTTCTTTTGTAGCAAGCAGTAAAGGAGAATATGAGGAGAAGAGAAGCAGAAGAAAAACAGAGGCGTGCTAAAATAGCTAAAGAGAAAACAGAGAAAGAAAAACAAGAGAGGCAACAAAAGAAAAAGCGTTTGTTAGAAATGAAAACAGGTAAGTAATGTAGAAAATTTATTTTACCTAGCATTTTACTGGAAATACAGCTGCTGTTTTTTCATTATCTGAATGTGCTATAAGAAAAGACAAAATAAATGAATTTTTTTTTTTTTTTTTTTGCGCTAATTAGCTTCTCTAATTACCTGTTTTTTCTCAAGCTATTTTAGAACTCGTAATGCTCCTTTGTATTTTTCCATTAGAATATATGGAACCTTGTGTGACCAAGTATAAGTTCGGTTATGCTCCTGAGAGCATGACTGAGAACAAACAGTTTCCAAATCACAAAGCCATGTTCTTTCTTTAACTAAGGTTACATATTCATTTTTGTTCTTTTACCAGAATAAGCCCTTCCTGAAGTATTCTGGATTTTTCTTTGAGTATGTCAATTGTTATTTCAATAGCTCCTGATTGAAACACCTTAAAAGGAACCTCAGACATGCATTTTTAAAGTTACTAATTTATGCTGTGTTGTCTTTTGTACCAAAAGAGATGGCAGACACTGCAAGTTCTCTGTTACTAAAAAAGATTTCTGATGATCCTCTATACTGCTGTATTTTATCTCAGACTGAGCTTCTGGAAACCTTCAAATAATGCACGAGTTACTGTGCAAATTATTGTGAGCTACTCTATGTTTTTTCTGTTAAGCAAATTTTGTTAAACAGTCAGTTCCCCACTCAAACCCCAGTTGGCATCTTTGGCATGAATGATTATCTGTCTTTTCCATGTTTCACTAATAGCCAGAGTAGGTGTGTTTAATTCTTCAGATCACAAATCTTTGGTTTATTTTCATAAGAACATACATCCATGTCTTGAGGTGTGAAACTAAAGCTTTCTCTTAAGATAGGAAACCAGGCGGCTGCCATCTGAACATCAAATTTCCAATTCTTTAGATGTAAATTCAAAACCCAATCAGAAAAATACCAGCAACAATCTGTTTAAAGCTCACGGAAGATAGAGGAGGCTGCAGAAGACTAGGAAAGGGTAAAACTGGTATCTGTATTCATGCATAGCTGGAAGTGTTTCAAAAGAGGTTAGATACTCTTCTCTCACACACATTGTATGTATGACTGATACAACATCCATCCATACTTTGGATGGAAAATTGATAAACTCCTCTCAAGTCCTGTTCTTCATAATATCATGTTCAGTCTTTCCAGAATGCAGGTGCCAACATTACAGACTTCTGAGTCATATACCAACACATGTATGTAGGCCTCTGGTAGTTAAACCTACTGCTTCAGCTAATGTAGTGGGGAACTATGTACTTGTCCTCTACAGATCAGCTAGGTCATTGAGTAAATAGCTGCTTTGTCGCTTAGTAGGTTGTTTTTGTTATTAAATCATATAAGTGTACAGAAAGATGTTTCTTGCTTTTGTTAATGGTACCTAAGATTCAGTCTGGAATGACTGATCTAAACAACAGCAGATGGGAAAGATGATGTTAGGCTCACCTGAAGCTATAAATGTCTTGAATCTGATATTCACTAAATAGGCCACTGATGAGTTGTTTTCTGTTCTGCAGAGCTTCTTATAAGGTTTCTTGTGCTTGTTTGCATCATCATTTTTAAAGTCTATTAGAAAACCCAGATTCTGGCAGCAGAAAGCACCTGTGGTAGATTTGTTTGTCAGGAAGGACAGCCACAACAATATGAAAATTGTTTTTTTATGATTTATTTAATTTTGGCAGTCTTAACAAAACTGTATTTACTAATTGAAGAGGCATAATGTTGCTCTGATGCTAATGGAAGAGTAACAGACATTCAATATTTTTTTTCCTTTTTTTCCCTCTTTTTTTTTCCTAGCTGTAACTAGTTCATTGAAAGGCTGTCTTCTCATTAAGAATCTGTAAATCAGTCACAAAATGTTTACATCTGACCTGCTGACAAATTTCTAACCAGGTTTTCCCTGTCAAAATACCAACAAACTCTTACCTGGAGTATGACTGTGGAGTAACTGATTTTTGCTGCATATCATTTCATTATATGGTGACTAGATCAGATGTTGGATCTATAGAAACATTTCAATTATTGCTTGAATGAAGTAGCTGAAAACTCATTGATGTCACCATCCCAGAAAATATTTACTGGGATTCAAACAGGTGCATACTTGAAGAGAAAAGATTAGAGTATGTACTAACTGGTTCTTCAAGATTTTTTTTTTTCTTCAGTGAACAGATCAAAGTGTACTCTATATTTCCACTCTTCATTTTTCTGTAACATTGCTTTTTACTGTGCTATGTGCCACTTGAGACTTTCTTAAATGTTCCTCTTAAACTTTTTCAGAAAACAACGACATCCAAAAAAAACAACCCCACTTTACTGGACTGACAAACATTAGTAACAGCAGTTGTGCTAATAACTTACTGTCATGCATTATTTGTCATTATCATTACAAATTAGTTCTTACCTATCAATTATCACCACTACATATTCAAAGCAGTCAGTCCTTAACATCTGTGTCCTGAATTTGATGTGAATATAAAGCCCCACAGAGTTGATACTGTAGAGTTGGCAATAATGGCCACCAGGGAGGGTCTTGGTTGACAACAAGACATGTTGAAACCTGAGAGGTCTTCTGCAACAGAAGTTAGAACTGAAGGGGCTATTTTTTTTTTTCCTCCTTTACAATACTCTCTTCCCTTCCCCACAACCAGTTTGGGGTCTTATCCTTTTATAAAATGGTTTGGTTTCTAGACAGTTACCGATCCTGTTGTCTAGCCTTCAGGGGGTGTTAATTCCTCAAGCCACAGCTGTGCTTTCAGCTAGACGTTTTTCCCTTGCTTAGCTGCTGCTGCTTTTCTTAATGTGAAAGCAGTCTTTCCCCAGTCTTTAAGGTTGTTCTTTATTTCAGTGACCATTAATTGGCCATTAGTGATGTTTATGGTTCTGGAGCTTCTGCTTTCAGACTGTGCCTGTCCCTTTCAAGTCCCAAGATGCTATCCAATGCTTAAACAGGATTTATATCATCATCCTAAGTTTCTTTTGTAAACCGCTGGTCTTATTTATAACACAGACATTTAACCTTTCCTCGATTCTCCTCTGTTCTTGGAGTCCTTTTTTTTTTTTTGTTTTCTTCATCTTTCATCTGCTTTTGGAAGTTAATTGAAAAGTAGGGTTTTGTTGCCTATGGTGCCACCTTCGGCTGCAAAAGGTGGAGGAAAGTGATTAATTTCTTCACATAAATAGCTATTTGGGGGTTATTGCTGACTTTTTTGCATTAACAAAAACTTAAGATCTTAGAGAAATATGTATAAAAATATAAATTATTATTATTAACATCAACCAAATACATGAGTTGAGTCAATAAATTACATACAGCATGTTAGGACTCTATTATACCAGGTTTGACCAATACTATGTAGATTGTATTAGCTCAAAAGGAAAATTATTCTAGATTTAAGGTAACTCCTGATTTTTAGCTTAAACAATTTTTGGAGAGAGAGGGAGAATTCCTTCTGGATGAAAAAAAAATAATTTCATCTCTAGTAAGTGACATTTACTAGAAGCATAAGATCCAAAGTGGTCCTAAAATATAGCAGCCTTTCCATTAACTGTGATAGTCTTTCTTAGCCGATATTATTCCTTTGATATACCAGTGACAATTTAGCCATCTGTATCACAGCTTACACTGTCATCCATACCTCTTCATCAGACTGCCTTTGAAATACTGTTACACCAAGTTCAGTGTTTATATGTATATTGTGCGATAAATCTTCATAAATTTTTCAATTTGAATTTTTTAATGTTTCATATATAAGTATTTATATCAGTATTTTGTAGATAGAGAAGCGTGTAGTGTTTATGAATATACAGTATGGCATCTTTCAGAAAAACAGTATTTTAGGTATGCTTTATAATATAAATTTGGTCATCTATTAATACGACCATAGATTTTTGTTATTATATGGAATAGTTTGACTTTCTTGCAAGTATTTTTTTGATTATTTGGACCTGAAGCCAATGTCAGATTTATATCCCTCTGAATTATAATTAGCTAAAATCCTAAATCTCTACTTTACATCTTAGATAGCAACATCTACATCTTGTAAAAATCACAGCTGATCATAGGCTGAGAGTCTTTAAGTTTACATAATAAAAATATCAGTTCCATATTTTCCTTTCAGCTCCATCTTAACTTGAAAAGTATGTGGAATTCAGTAAAAACTTTGAATGTCTAAGCAGTGAATGATATTTTGTATTCTGAAATTTATGATAATAAAATCTGTCCTCTAAATACTCTCTGGGCTACAAGATGATATTTATCATGAGATGCTTTGTCAATAAGATTGCTTTACTTGCTTCTGTGAAGCCAGTTCAAACTATCACATACTATCGTTCTAAAGGTAAATAGCCAGTGGAAGGGGATCTTTATGTAAATGCCACTTGTCTGCATACTATTAACATTCAGATACATACTTTCTCATGCTGTTCAGATTCTCAGTAGAAAGCACACTAATCAATTATTTTGATCTTATCACAGTGTAAAGAATTCTATAACTGTGATAACACCGGCTAAATTTATTGTAATATAATTGAGAACTCCATCATTGTGGCATCTTCATTGTGTCTTACTTTGAATACTATTTAAGTAACAAGCCACTTTAATCAGTGGTTATTTACAAAGGCTGCCCTTTCTTACGCAAAAGCAGTGAAGTGATGCCAAAATGATGTCTTAAACATCCGATTTCCAATCCAGAATATTAGTTCATTTTCAACTGTATTATTCAGTTTCACTTTTATTACAACCAACTGGTTTTAAGTCCATGTTTCAGTTCACTTAGACAGTTATGACCTTATTTACAGTCAATTTTGCAGCATTTACTTTTGTAGAGGTTTTATATTGTTTACCTGTTTTTGGAAAAAAGCATTCATGTCTCCCAAACTTTCTAAGAGTGTTTCAGGTTTTGGTTCTTCAAACATTTATTACTTTATTTCTGACTGCTAGGTTGTGCAATGTGAATATTTTCATTAGTTCTGTAGGGTTCTGCAAAACAAAAG